TCACAGTCATTCATTGTTTAACATAGTTTTATCATATTCCTTCTTACTCATTTGTTTTCTAAGGTAAACAATCATAATCTACATTTCATTTTCACGTGGCAGTTCCCCCAGTCCTTAACTATGCTCTTCACCCTTCCCTGAACCTACTCTAACTCCCCAACATGGTTTTACAGAGGGAGTGAGCAGAGCTATGCACAATATTCCTATGTAAGATCTATCACTTATTTATGTAATGATGTTAGAAGGTTTTCCTCTCTGTATTAGTCACTCTTCATGCTCCCTTTTATTTTATTTGCTTTTACTAGAGCAGCACACTGGGCCAAGACTTTCAATGAAAAGCATGCATACATAGACATCCAGTCTGTCCTGAGTTTACACTGTTAAGTTAGGATCCCATAAAATGCAGAAGAATTTCAAATATTTCCTGCCAATGCACAGGACTCGGCAATTCTGAAATTTGTCTGCCTTTGTGCTTTTTGCTCGCTCACCTTGCTTAGGCTTCTCCCAAGTTTGTAAAATCTCCTCTGGTCCTAGTTAATCTAAGTAATCTTGGGTCATCTGCAACTTTTACCACCTCATTTCTCAGATACCTTTCCAGATCATTAATAACATTAAACTTCAGGCCCAGTGTGGAACTATTTCTTAATTTTCTCAATTTCATGAAAATTCACATTTATTCTTACTTTACCTCCTGTCTCGTAGTCAAGTTTTAATCCATTATACTACTTAACCTCTTTCCCCTGACTGCTTGGTTCTTTTGCAGGCTTCTGTGATGAACCTTGTTCAAACCATCTTGAAAGTCTACATGTATTAGACAACAGTTCTCCATATATGGATGGCAGGGGAAATGAAAATAAAGTGGCTTGCCTAAAGCCACATGGCAAACTGGTGGGAGGCCCAGGATCAGAACCCAAGTTCTGTGAATGCCCACTCAATCAATACAAACCCCCCAAATCTTCAATGGGTATTTTGGTTTTGATTTGTTTAGCTAAAAAAGAAAAAAGAAAGAAAAACATATTATACACGTTCAAAACAAAGGTGTTTATTTTGTTCAAAAAAAATTTTAAGATGCCTATCAATTGCTTGATGAACTAAAATGAAGTGTAAAAGAAACAGAAAGAGTCAACCAAATTTTACTGTAAATACATTTTACAAATTCTAACAGTTCATCTTAGAGACAACAGACTACACTGTATATACCTAATGGACCAAGTAGTCTAATTAGTGAATTAGACTACTGAAATAAAAAAAATGGAAAATGAACAAAAAAATTATAGCTTTTAGTAAAATCCTCTTGCTGGAGGCTGACAATATCGATCTTCTGTCCTTCCTTATGGTCAAGATAAAATGTTTGCTCTTCTGCACAGACAGGACAAAAGAATCCTGCCCATTTGAAAAGAGCAGCCCATTTGAAAGTCAATGTATTTTTGTTTCATTACACCTGTAAGAAGGGCAACAATATAATAACAATAATGATGTTGTCAAAAGATCAAAACTGACATGCTTTCTCATGCATGTGGATATGGAACTCCTCAAAAATTCACGATTTTGTGCTTGTGAATACTGCCATTCACAACATAATTGGATGCAAGGTATGCCTTTGATTATGGGCATAGCTTAAAACAACTGCTGCACAGAACAAGTGTCAGCAACCTACAACCTGCAGGCCAGATCTGGCGTGCAAAAAGGTTGGATCCAGCCTGCAAAAGTCCTATCCAGCCAGGATGCCATGCAGTTGCCACCTATTCCCTTCATACCACCCACCTCTGCCACCCTTCCTGCTGTGCTCATGTGCCTGTCCTTACACTGGCTGCAGAGGAGCCAAGGATTAGAGGTGAGAGAGTAAGCACATGTGGCTTGGGTACTTCAGAAAGTAGAAATTTGCAGCACATGGGGATGAGGGGATGGGTTGCAAGCTCAAGTCTGCAGTGGCATAACGTTGCCAACCATTGGCATAGAGTATTAAACGAAACTGCAAAATATAGCTGTCCTTTTAAAAAAATCAAGTGCAGGGTCTCTTGAACAAACACTGATACATCCTTTATTATTAGACCAACTTAAATAGTTCGAAAAATTCTTCTTAGCAAGCCTTTCGGGTTTAAATACCCTTCGTCAGGCTAAGAGAGTGTCTGCAGGTGGTGTGTTCACTTCCTGGATGGAAAGAATAGCAAAGAAGCCAGGGGCTGGTATGCACTCAAGGGACGCATCCACACATGCAAGTATGTGCGCCTGCAACAGCTCAATTAGAAGCAGTGTAAATTTGTGCCAGGACTTTTTGCTTCAGTGCACGTGCTCGAACATGCACTTTGGTGTGGAGCAAATTGTGTCACTTGGGGCAAAATAACCCTGCCTGGCTCCTCCCAGATCTGCAGCCAGGGGGAGCTAGAGCCTGGGGCCAGCACCTGTGCTGTCCCCAGCGGCATAAAAAGCTGCCCTGTCCTGGCCCCAGCAGTATAAAAAGCTGCTCAGGGCTACCAGCTCTCAGAAGCTTCTGGAGCCCAGCCAATTGGTACCTGGGGACACTACCCCTTGTGCCAGCTGGACTGCTGAAGCAGCCCTGACAGTTCCCTGCATCCTCTACCCAATGTAGCAGTCTGGCAGTGGGGGCTGCTGCCTGGCTGTGACCTGCTGTGCACCTGCCAGACGCACAAGGGGACTGCACAGCCAGTAGAGGCATCTGCACCTCTGGGCCAGCTGCCAGTGGACTGCGGTTGCAGATTGGGTCTCTGTGCGGCACTAGTGCCACATGTGCCCCCTGCCCGACCATCTGGGCAGCTATTGCCCGGAAGATGTTCTGGGTGTGGTGGCCTGCTTTAAACTGTCAAAGCATGTCCCCCTGGCCCCATCTGGCCAGGAGGTCAGCCACAGCCAGCTAGGCCCAAGGTGCAAGCTCTCAGCAAGCAGGGTCCTGCCACTGGCCTCCCTAGCAGGAATTCTAGTGTTCCCTATTGGAAAACTGAAAAATCCCACAGTCAGTCTGTAAAACACCCCCAAATCCATGTTCCTCCACAAGTAAAACAAAAGACCACTATAAAGACAGAGAGCAAGAAAAGAGACAATGATCAGTTGGACAAATGTTTTATTGATATATCTTACAGTGCTAAAGCAAGTCTCTTATCATAATAATAAAGTGAACTCTAAATACATGTTTCATGAATTCATGAATATATATTTTGCTGCCCTCCCACAGGGGCGATGGCCCCCACAGGGGTTACGCCCCCACACAAGGGGTTCGGCCCCCCAACAGTAGAAGCAGTGGTGCAGGGCTCCAGGGCCTCCGGGCAGTGCCCCGCCAGGCAGCACAGGACAGGGTGGGAGGCAGGAGGGCCCAGCTGGGGCCGCTGGGGCTATCACCCTGCCCCACACTGTGCAGGCAGGGCCTGGTGCAGGGCTCCAGGGCCTCCGGGCAGTGCCCCGCCAGGCAGCACAGGACAGGGTGGGAGGCAGGAGGGCCCAGCTGGGGCCGCTGGGGCTATCACCCTGCCCCACACTGTGCAGGCAGGGCCCTAGTCAGCCAGACGGCAGCCAGACTGCAGGTAAGTGCTGGGGTTTTGGGGG